AGAGGGAGGAACTGTGGGGAAGACAGAAGAAATATGCATACAAAACGCATATGGACAGGAAAGAAGTCACTAAGAGACATGCCTATCATAGGAGAAGTATCTCGGGAAATGTTTGGTCCTGTTGATAGCCTACCACGAGCTCTCTGCACTGAAAGCTTCCATAGAAACGCAGAGATTCCGTAGAAGGGGGGAAATGCCAACCAGACTTCTTCATAACAGAGTTTGAAAGTTTATGGGTCTACTTCAAATTAGCAAGATAAGTATTTGCTTTCCAGGCTTTTGCCAAGAGAATATATCCTCAGACTGCCTGCTGTCCAAGTCTAATTAAAGACTCCGAGGGAAGAAATAGTGCTCGAGTAATTGTCAGAAGGACATGCAATCTACTCATTCCTCTCTATATCACTAGTCCTCAAATTATATCTGGTCTTGTTAAAACATAGATTACTGGCCCCACCTGTGGTGTTTCTGATTCAATAGGCCTATTCAACAGGAAAATTTGCATTTCTAATAAGTTCCCAAGAGCTACTGATGTTGCAAGTTTGGGGTTATGTGTGAGAAGAACTGGGCTAAGAACATCAAGTGTATTAGCAGATCAAGTCTAAACGAAGAGAGGCTTCCTCGGAGCATGTGGTTTTGAACTCCAGTCGTTAAGGCACCCTATTGAATTCCCTGCTGACACCATGTCCTTCTCTGGCATTGAGCAATAATACAAGTAACAATCTTAAGAAATCTCTGGCATCTCTACATTTTGAAATTGTTGAGAGTGTCAACTCCTACGTCTCCCAATGTCCTTTTATTAGAATGCCAAGAATGAAATCTTTGTCAGTTCTCAGAGCAGGAGAAATGATTTTTCCCCCCCAGAACAATGTGGCTGTTGGTTTCTTTCAGTTTATATGACTTCATTTAGCAACTGGATTTCTAAGACCAGCAAGTAGCCTGGTTTTAATAAATAGCACAAACCTCATGGCACATAGTTTAGGATTTGTCCTGTAATTTGTTTTTATTCAATCTTTCTCTTCTACAGATTTTCTCAAATCCTTCCTAGAATAAGGGGGGGGGGGGGGGGAGTAAATCAACCCATAAATAATAAAATGAATAATGGCAAAGAGTATGTGCACAAGTTCTAGGGAGGCAAGAAATAATTGAGAACCAGAAGTTAGTGGCAGTAAACACGTGGTTTTGTCTGTTTTGGTATGGCAGGTGACAAAAGTGACTTACCCAGGATCCACCAGCTATACGCTGTAGACCTGGCACTGCAGCGTAACTCTTCCTGCTCTAGTAATGGAGCCCTTTTGGCTCCTCTTTCCTGCTTGCCATGAATAAAGCCTCAAGATAACTGGGCTCCTGCCTTGGTGTGAAGTATCAGGGTATGCAACCTGAGGAATCAATAAAATGAGTTTGCTTCAAGCCTAGTCATTCCTGCTCCCAAAGGAAAGGGCAGGGGTTCAGCACGGATGTGTAAAAATGTGGCAAGGTGGCCTGAGTCATTAATAAAGAATGGTTTCAAGTCGGGAGGGAGATGAGAATCCCTCCTCCTTCTCAGCAGACATTCTAGCCATAATTAAATGGACACCAGCAGGGCAAGCACGGTGAGATTTTTATAGAATACCAAAAGAAAGTGATGCTGTAGTACACTCAGGGTGGAGACCACAGGGCCTGGAGAGTGGTATTGTTTACATGCTCCCTGTTTTAGGGCTTAAATCGGGAGGGCAGGGGAGGCCAGCTATGTGACAGACTCGGGGGCTGGATGGCATGCTCTTTCAGGGACAGATCTTCAGAGGACATTCCAGCTCTGTCAGCACAGGGGAGAATTATTCTCATTATTTCATTTCCAATAGAATATACCCTAAAGCTTTTAACCCTTCTAGTGCAGGTTCAGTGCTGATTACCTCTGAGTCCCAATGAGGACCCACCAGTCATCTGGAATCAACCTTGACCTTGCTGGGTGGAAGGCGTAAACTGGAGTGGGCCCTGGGTGGGGAGGTGAGGATGGTGGCAACTCCCCTCTCCTGGATGCTTTCTCCTAATGAATTCTTCAAGCAGCACCCAGAAAAGGAGATGGGTTGAGGCAGACCCAGCCTCTAACCAGCTGCATTAATCACACGGCATCCCTTCCGCCCAGCTGAGATGGATGGCCCTTCAGTAGCCAGTGCTCAGGTGCCTTCTAATAATAAGCTTAATTCAGCACTTCTCGATTCACACACTCGCTCCCTCCTTTCCCGGTGAAGACTAGCCCCAGAAGCAGCATTTACATCAAAGACCTCAAAAGGCAGAAGGTGGGGTCGTGGGGGAGTCTGAGTTGGGAAAAGGTGACCCAAGGTCACAGTGATAAAGCCAGATAGTAGTGAATAAAAGCTCACGTCATTGCCTGATGTTATCTGGCTGCCCAGAGAGGAAAGGGAATTAGAGACAGACAGGCTGACTCCACTCTGCTCCAGTTTTTCCAGAACCTACATCTGGGCCCTCTGCTTCCTTTGTTGAAGTCCCACTTATCCTCAAAGAGCTGGCATTGTGTACCTCTCAGGAACTGATTCTGTTCTCTGTAGGACTTTTAAGAGTGACTCCTGTATACCCCCTACCTGTGTGCCTTAGATCCTGGGATTTCCTGGAACCATCTTTCTGTCATTCTGTGTTGCAGCAACAGATGATGTCATCACTTCCTAAGACCCAAATGATGTATGCAAGTGCCTGGGGGAGTAATTGGGCAGAAGTACAGAAAATGTGGAATTTGCCCCCAAGGGGTTGAAGATAGAGGGGAGAAGAAAACACACATAAATTGAACACCCAGAAAGAAGAGCCCGCAAAGCTATAATGAATGGACTGGCTTGTGTTTCTTCTTTTTCCTTTCTCTGGGGTACCAAAATGGAAGGAGTATGGGCAAAGGGTAAGATGGTGACATGGCAGGTGGTAGCAGACCTCATATCATAAAGAATTATCTGGAAGTGAGTAGCCATCCCAAGAAAAGTGATAGAGCCAGAGAAATGGTGAATTCCGGCTCTTACATTTATTTGAAGTCTGACTTCTGGGAAGTTATTTAACCTTTCTGATTTTCAATTTTCTCTTCTGTAAAATGGATCTGATAATATCTATCTCCATGTTGAGAGATTTGTTTGCCTGAAGGAAGTCAAGTGTCTAGCACTGTATTTGGGTCAACACTAACACTATTGGTGAATTCATGCATTTACTTGTTTGTTTGACAGACACACAGCAAGCGTCTACTGTGTATATCACACATTCTACTAGACCTAGCATACACCAGGTGTGAATAAGAAAGACAGAATCTTCTTCTGTGTAGACATGGCCCTGTGGGAAAAAGACACATGAATTGGTGATTTAAATTCCTTCTGTTACATTCAAGGGATGAGAGAAATACAGTCTGAGCTGTGGGAGGGCAAAGAAGATATTCCCACTTCATTTTTAAGATCTCTTTCCTTGGCATTGTTTTGTTTTGCTTTTCTCATTCCTTCTCTTTAAGGTTATCTGACAATTGATTTTTTCTTATTGTCAATAAATCTTCACTGATCTAAGGAATTGCCTATGATTTCATCTGCCCAACCAGCGAGCAGATTAACAATCTCATCTTTCAGGTGACTTTTTTTTTAACTCCCTGCCTGGGTGTCCACTTAGTTGTTCAAAACCAAACTTAACCCCTTCATGGCTCTGTGTCATTTCACCTAACTATTTATCACCAAGTTGGCAGCAGAGATTTAGTGTGGGAATGGTTTGGGCAAAGCTGTGGATCAAAATTCTCACTCGAGCTGAGGGATTCAAGAGAGAGGCAGATTGTATGCTCCTCACTCCATTCCCTCCTTTGTTCTTAAACAGACAATAATTTATTTGATGTGGACCAAGATTTATTTCATGGCTTACAGGACTGGAAATTTGGGGGGCAATAAAGATCTGTCAGACCATTCAGACCTGTCATCTTCTGAGTGGCTTCTTCTGGCACCAAGGTTTCCTTAACTGCCCAGATAAGTCTTCCAGATGACTGCCGGGCCCTCTGTCAAATGAAGCAGCCTGCTTTTCGCTAAAGAGGTTCAGCGTATGGCTCCGCATGCAAGAACAGCACTGGGTTTTAGAGAAGCCTGTATCTGGATGGATAAAGCCACCAACAGAATGTAAAGCATGAAAATGTGTGTGTACGCACAGACATGTTTGTATGTATGTATGTATGTATGTATGTATGTATGTATGTATGTATACAGCATGATCTTTGAAGCTAGTGTGATCTCCTCCACAGTCTGATTGGCATGGTCAAGGCAGGGGATGGAGGTAACAAGAAACAGTTTCAAGAGACCTAGAACTTGAAAGTATTTTTCTGTTATAAAATAGTTGGGACAAGTATCTTAACTTCTGCATGCCTTATCTGTAACTGAGCTCCTAGGGATAGCTATAGGCTGATAGGTTTCCTGGACGGGAACATTGACTCTGATGTGCTGCTCCAGGTTAGGTTGAGACCCAGACTTTACCTAAAATATCGCATTTGCTTGTCTTTGTCCCCATCCCTGCCTTGTTTCACTCCCTTCCCAGCTAGCTTCTCCTGAGACACTTTACTAAGTATCCTTTTCCTGGGGTCTGCTCTAGAGGGACATACCTGTGACACCTTGCAAATCTAGTAAGTTCTCAGGGTCTGTTAATGGAAGGCCCATCTATTCCCTTTCTTTCTGTATCTCCAGAGTTTACAATTTCTATCCTGTATTCTTATAGATTGTAGAGAATTATTGAAGCTGAGTGGTTTGAGATCATATATATGCCAGACTTGTAACTGGTTCAAGTGACAAAGCAATTTCATGTCAGATGATGGCTACCTCCTTCAGTTCCTGTAAGCCTAAAAGAAAACCCTGGCATAAAGGAATTCCTTGCAATTCAATGAAACCTGTGCTCACAATGTACTTGGAAGAGTAAGAAATGAGTAACTTTAGAGCAAAAGTAAAGACTGTAAAACTTTCTCCAGAATAAGACCAAGGGGCAGAACTCAACCCTCCCCCAAGGAAGCTCACCTTGCCTACCCCTGACTCTGATCATCTGTTGTCCTCTGTGCAGCATTATATGATCCGTAAGGAGATGCCACTCATCTGATGGATGACTCCTTTTTACAAAGCACACTGTTTTGCAGTAGTCTATGATGGTATCTGGAAGAGGTAAGGTAGGTGTTATATCATATAATGTAATGAAAGGTGTATCACAGGGAAAGTCCATTAGTCATGGAGTTGTACACACTAGGTTCAAGCCCAGGTCTGCCTGATCTGTAGGGCAAGCTGGTAAAGTTTATCTAACTTCCATGCACTTCAACTTCTCCATTTTTAAAATTTATTTATTCTATGTGTATCTATAATGCATATTTGTATGTTTGTGTACATACATATGCATGTGCATGCATAGGTATGTGGAGGTCAGTCATTGGCTTGGATGATGATGATGATGATGATTTTAAAAGCATCTCCCTGAACCTGGAGTTCACCGACTCAGTTAGGCTAGCTGGCCAGTTGGGGGTTCACTTCTCCGTGCCTCCCCTGTCCTTAGACTGCAGGTGTGAACCACCATGCTCCAGCCTTTTACATGCATTCTGGGGAATTTGACCTCAGGTCCTCATACTTTCAAGGCAACAATTTGATCAAATAGGCCATTCTGTAGTCCTCATCTATAAAATTGAGGTAGCACTGATTGCTATATGAAGTTTCCCTGAGGATTAATGGGGTCAGGTATTTAAAGGAACCATGAACATTTCCATCACAGCCCTTAACTGATCTATCAATTGTTATTGAGCTTGGTCAGTTCTGTGGTCAGAGAAGACAGAAAATGTTCTGGGATGAAAGGTACTGTGGTCTACTGTGAACACTCCCAAGGGGCTTCACTATCTGCACAAATGTTTCCTTAGATTGCAGTTCACCCTGGAAACCCTGCAGGGTTTTAGAGGCCTTTGTCATTCCAATTTCTATTCTCTAATAAGTGACTACAATCATTGGTTTCCTGATAACCCACTTTGCTTAGGAAGTTTGGCATATGATCAAAGTGGCACTGCAAACCAATGGGCAAAGATAAATCACCTGGTAGATGGCATTGAGAAAACAGCAGATTTCATGTACTGACCCGACTTCTAAATTTGCTGAAGTTACCTTTGAAAAGGAAAAGAAAGAGAGAACTGGGTTCCTTCAGATGAAGTTATAATCATGGACAGATCAAAGAAATAAATGCAGTGGCCAGTAGAAGGCTAATAGAAAAAAATACAATAACAAATTTTTGACCTCGGGATCAGGGATGTCTTCTTAAACAAAACCTTGAAAGCATAAGAGATAAGGTGAAAAGTCAGAACTTTAATTGGAGATTAAGTCTCATGGACAATGCTGGCAGGTGATGTCAGCAGAAAAACTTCATTTTAATGTACAAAACTGGCAAGAGACTCATATATAGAATAAGCAGTTTCTGTAAGTCAGCAAGCAAAGACAGTAGGGTTTATAGAAACAGTGGCTAAAAGTTAAGAACAGGAGATAAAGAGAAGATTCAAACCCAAAGCCTTATAAGTCCCAGAAAAGCAAATTCGTTAGGAACCACAATGTAAAAAGCAAAACAATAAGGTACCAATTTAAGCTTGGGGAAGTAGCAGCAGCATGAAGGCTGGAAGATGCCACATGTTGGCAGGAATCCGATACATAGGAACCGGCAGGCCTACAAGCAGGAGTCCCCTTCTGTGTAGTGCAGCTGTTCCAGAGAGCAACACACTTTCAGCTCCTGTGCAAACAACCTGAGACCCAACAACCCTCCCCCTGCACCCAAGAAACCTTCCCATAGTCTGCAAGAGCCCACAGGGGCTGTTTCTCAAAGTACTGTCTTCTGGGAAGTTTGAAGATTCTAAGTGTCTCTGGGAAATGCGTAGACCTAATATGGCCCAGACACCTCCAAACTGGAAGTGGTATATGATAGATGTACCTAAAGTAACACAGACAGAGCTTCCAAAGTATGCTCAGCAGGAAAAGGAAGAATTGAATGGTGAGAAAACACAAAGCGGTTACGTATGTATGTATGTATGTATGTATGTATGTATGTATGTATGTATGTATATTTATGTCTATAAAACACATCAGCACCTTTCCCTATGGAGATAAGAAAAGGGAAGGAGTGTGAAGATAAACAGCAATAATTGGAAAAGGAAGGAAAATATAGACATTAGGAATGTGGTTCATGTTTTCTTGGTTTGCTGAGGTGCTGAAGATACATTGTTGTGACAGTCTTTGGTAGAAGGGATGGCGACTTCATGAAACCATAGCAGAACACAATAGTGGTATAATCCGGGGTATCGTTTCCAGAAAGTACCTCATAGAAGTCCCTTTGGGGTTGACATACTCTTTGCAGGTTTAGAGACAAGCTTCTGCCATTGGCCAGGAGTAGAGTGTCTAGGGACTGACCTGTGTTAACTGATGCATGTGAAACAGGTGGATGTCAGAGGACCACCTGGTCTCAATAGCAAGGAATTGTCACACACCCGGAACACTAAAAGCTGTCTGATTAGTGCATTCTCTCCCTGTAGTCAAACTACACAGGAAGCCGAGTCCTAATCAGAAGGTTCCTTTGATGGGGATAGAGATAAAGCAAAATGAATTTAAATGATCTTAAAAGCAGTCAGTTCACCGGAAGACATTGATGGATTGTCCCAGGATAGTCTTGCTGATGGGATCATAATGGTAGGATGATATACCTGCTCTACTGTGGACACACATATATAAAACAGCAAATTAAATTCAGCTGGGTAAAAGTAGGGCCTGCACAATTCTGAACACAAGCAGGAGCCCGATTCCAGACAAATAATATAACCAGCCACCTCAGGAAAAAAACATCTCAGAACAAACCTGCCCAGGTCCCCCGCAGGCTGTCGGGAATAAATGGGTAAATGGAAGAAAAGCTTCTCACACCTGGCAGGGTTGAATTTTACCAGAGCCTCCTGAGCCTGGAAATCAGCCAAGGTTAAGAAATCCCCTCAACCTTTTGTGTTTCAGAAAATGGCTGACTACAGAGAACAGCTTCCCTCCCTTGACTTGTAACTCAGAAAGGCACTGTTTGTTTACCTACCCAAGGCCACAGGGACCCTCCAAGGTCGCATCTGTTGTCTCGTGATCAGAGGAGTTGCTCCTCAGGTCTGATCTATCCAGACAAGACACTTACTGACTAAACCTGTGTGAAGTGTCTTTTCCCCGCATCCCGAACTGTGGTCAGTGTCCACCTTCTCTTTAACAGCCCGTCCTGAGCCTGAGTGCAAGCTGGCCCCAGGGTCAACACTCTCAGACCATCTGCTCCTCCACAGCAGCTTCTCACTGTACTTCCTCTCACTCAGTGCTCCCTCTTCCGTGTGAGGTCAGGTGCTGCAGTATGCCATTTTTAATTCCCCTCTGAGGGTACCACAGGACTTGACCTGTGTGCTCTCTGTTGGCTGGAACCCTGACTTGGTGAATTCTCTTGCCTGCTCTTGGACAGACCCCCTTGATGTTTCAGGGAAGAGTCCTTCCTTTGCTTTCCCGTTTCCTGTTGACTAACTTAACCTATTCCTTCCTCCAAGAAGAAAGTACCCTTACTTTGATTGCTCAGGTCTGCGGCTGTCTGGGAGATGATTCTTTGTCTTTCAGTGTGGGATGGTGTCCCTAGATACCCTAACCTGTGCTTTTTTTGCTCTTCTAGACACTTGGCCTAGTCTCCATGTTCTGTACTCCTGTTTTTCTTGACCCATGTTTCTTCCCTTTCCCTCATCCTGACCCTTCAAGAAGTTAATTAATTGGTTCACTGACTACACAAGTTTGCACAGAACAGTGTTTGATTGCTGGGGATTCTTTCAGGCCCTGGGAACCCACAGATACAATGTCTCTGCCACCTAGAAGCTCACAGGAAGCAGAGGAGACAGACACATTAAGTAATATAGCACAACATGATCAATCTGGTAATAGAGATATGAAAGAAAAATGCCATGCTGTGGATTGAATTTAAATCAATAGAGGAGGGGAACAAAGTATTCACAAGTCCCAATTGAAAGTGTGTCATGTTTTATATCAAATACTCAAGCTCCCTCAGGGCTCTTTAAATGAGATATTCTTTAGAGGTCACAAATAGGATAATAAGGTTCTTAATCTTTAGTCACCTGCTTCTGAATCTTCCTAGGAAGGGGTTTGACAAACACAATCTTCATTTTGGAAAAGCAGTCACTAAATAGGGTTCTGGAGAAGGAGCATTGGCCTGGACTCCCTTGCAATCTTCTCTAGCCATTCAAGTCCCTCCTTCTAGGTTTCAGGGCTGAGGCTGACCTTTGTGTCCCGTCCCCTGATTTGTCACGCAACTACAGGAACAGCGAAAGGTGGCCGCCGAGGCTCTGGATGATCCACATGGTTTTGCTCAGATCTGCTCTTTCCTTTGGCACATCTGATGGCTGTCATAGGAACTCATCTGGATTGCCGAGGAAATGCTAGTAGTGGGAACAGGCCTTCTCTTTCAGAAGTGTCCTACAGGGACAGTCAGGCACCAGTACCTGGGTTAGGTCTCTATTCCATCAGTCAAAGAGTAGGTCCACAGGCACTGGATTTTTCTATTTCTCTCAGTGCCCTACTATGGGCTTCTGGTCTGTGAACCTGTAACAGTGGCCACACCCCTTTGGGTGTGGCTTCAGGCAAACGGAAATAGAAGGAGGTAAATTTGGGGTATGGCTTTCCTTCCCTCAGTCTTTCTGGTGGGTTAGCCAATGCTGTAGGAAGGGCAGGGAAACAGTCCCGTGGTTCTTTGTATTTTTCTGTGTAATTGTTCCCTAATAAACACCCATTTATCTTTGGTTTAGCGAAGTCATTACAACCTTGCTGTCACCCTACTACTGGCATCCATAGATTATCATTTTCAATTAGGAAAAAAAAACTTCCTTAAGGTATAAAATGACATAACAGTTTATACATGTAGACCTTTCAGCCTTGATAAATATACCCTTAATCTTTCTGCAATACCTGTAAACTCCCAAACTACTTATGGATGAGAGGAGGCCTGAAAGACAGACGATAATCAGATAGTATGGAAATATAAATTCTTCCTTGCCCCCTGAAGGTATGCTCTGTGACTTTAAATTTTAATTGATATTTGTAGATGTGATTCCTGTCATTTTGTCAATGAA